AAGTGGAGAAGGAATTGAAGTTGTCAAGGATTTCATTACACTTGGATCAGCAGTCAATGTCCATGAAATTATCAGTTGAGAAAACAAATGTCATATTGCATTGAGCAGATCTGCTGCAAAAGACCTCTTTAAAGTTTTAAGAGCAAAGATGTCACTTGTGTGACTATGGTGCATCTGACCCCAGTCATGGTCTTTCCAGTCACTTCATATGCATATAAAAATTGGATAATATAAAAGAAGACAGAAGAAGAATTGATATTTTTGAGCTGTGGTGTTGGTGAAAAATATTGAATGGACTACCAAAAGAATGGAAAAATCAGTCTCTGAAAAAATACAACTAAGATGTTCCTTAGAAGTGAGCATGACGAGACTTCAACTCTTTTACTTTGGATACGTCATTAGGAAAGCCCAAACTCTAGAAAAGGACATTCTGATTGTAGTAGAAAACTAGAGGGCCAATGAAAGGAAGGAAAATTTTCTATGAGATGGATGGGCATGATAGCCACAGCAATGGACTCAGACATAGAAACAATAATGAGGGTGGCACAAGGCTGGGCAACTCTGTTCTGTTATACTTTAGGTTTCCATGAGTTGGAACTAACTGGACAGCAACCAACAACAAAAACATCTATTCAAACATGTTAAAGTCTTAAAAAGTACTGAGGAACTTTTCCACTTTGAAGGAGACTAAAGAGACTTGGTGACTAAATGCAATGGGTGAACCTAGATTAGGATCTGAAATGGGAAATATAGCTGTCAAGACATAATTAGAAAAACTGATGGAATGTTAATATATACTGTGCTCTGTCTTGTGCCAATCTATTGGTTCTGCTGCCTCTGCTTCTGCTGTCTCTCTACCAGTCTCTCTGCTGGTCTCTCTGGCATCATCTTAGCACAGGGATCTTGGGTCCAAGGACATTCTCCAATCTTGGTACTTCTCTGTCTTGATAATAGGTCTCCTTTTTCAACTCTGGGTGGGCTCATTTTAAGCCTAGCAAAATGACAAAAGCAACCACTCCCCACATTAGGGTTCTATACACCTTATTCCATGGTCCCACCCCCACAATGGTGCCATGTCCCTTATTTACATTACTTATAAACTATGCAGTGCCCTTGATGGGCCACAAGCACCTTACATTTACATAGTTCTACCCAGTCATTTGGTGGGAGTCACAGCCAGAAGGTCATGACTAGAAGAATCACACCAAGTAATTCACTGCACAACACAAAAAAAGAACAAAATAGGAAAAAAATGTAAATAGTGAATTTGTATAAATAAAAGATTTCCTTGTACTACACCTGCAATATTCAGTAAATTTGAAAACATGCAAAAATAAAAAGCTACTAAAAGTTTTAGCATATGAAAGTGGTGTTTATTAAAATGCTAATTGACTCATTAAAATTTCAATATTAATATACTAAAAATAATTAATAAATAAATAATTGACAAGTATATCTATTGACATTAAATTGTTATGTAATATAAACTAATAAAATATTTATTTAAAGACAATATGTGTGTATTTGGTATGTCATCTGACATGCAATAAATAAAATTGATCATAAGTAAAATTTATGTTGTTTGGAAAAATACATGTGAGTTATCTTTTCAATATTCTAGGAACATAGTTTAAGACAAGTTGGAAGGTTAATGGCCTTCCAGTTTGGATTATTAGAGAGCTGTTGATATGAGGGCTCCCATAAGAATCCTCGGAAGGAAGGTTGGGCAATCCTACTTCCGTAGTGATACTGCCTTGGAAACCCAAGGAGGGGTTGCTATGGGTCGGGGCTGACTCGACGGCACCTAACAACAACAACAATAACAATAAGAATTATTCAGTCCTCAGGTACAGAATGCATTTGAGGAGGTGCTGTTGATTTTGTATATATAATATTGATTAAGTAGACTTCCATGATGAAAACTAAGCATGATGTGATTGATTAACTTTGTGGCACCACAACTGATTTGCCTTCCAGTTTATATTGTACAAAGACAATTTACATTTGTGTTGTACTGTTCTTAGCAATGGAATTTTTCTTCATTTAGAATTTTGTGTTTCAGCTGAGACAAAGGATAGTAACTATCATCAGTACAAGAAATTTGACATCTAGTGCTTATGTGTAGGGATGTAAAATTAAGGATATATTTCACACACACACACACACACACACACTTAGAGCTGAGGACATTAATGAGTACCAAATATAAATTGATTATCTTGAATCATGAGAAAGTACATATTTTTTTCACTCACTCTCACTATTGTTTACAGACACTCAACTTCCTAACCCATATGTTTTTATAAATTACAGCACTCAATTATTATAAAATATTTAATTTTTAGAAAATTTGTAGTGATTGCTAAAGATATTATTTCTGTATCTTAAAAAAATGAAAGTTTGGGTATTTACTCTGTAGATGAAAATCTGGTCTACAATTCCTGCATTTCTCTTTTCTCATTTCTTGAAAAAAAACAACTGTGCATACAATTAAATGCATGCACCAACACATGATAAAATTATAGTTAATGTTTAGTTTCCACTTCCATGTTCTGCACAGAAACAACTGCTCCTTGTATCTAAGGACACAATATAACTCATATATCAACCAGTTCAGAAGCAGTTTTCTCTGGCTTTTAGATTCATAGGCAAAACATTACATAATGCAATCTTACACGAGATAAATGAAATTTGCAATGTTAAGGGCAAACAATTTACCTTAAAAAGAATTGTTATGAGAAAAAAAGTAATGAAGCTATAATTATTCCTTAATTTTTGATATTTAGCTAGCTATGGTAGATTTTTTGGCACCATATTTTTCTGTTTGCTTCAATAAATCTTTTCTTAGTACCTAATATGTGCTAGAAACTATAATAGTTTAACAAATACACAGAATAATATATGATTTGTGGTCAGGGAAGCATTGCCATCAAGATGATTCCTACTCAAAGCGACCCTGTAAGACAGAGTAGAACTGCAGCGTAGGTTTCCCAGGTTGTAATCTTTACAGAAACAGACTGCCACATCTTTCTGTTGTGGAGCTATTGGTAGATTTGAACTGTCGACTTACAGGTAGCAGATGAGCACTTAAACAATTATGCCACCAGGAGTACAATATAGGGAATAATACCTGGTAATTTAGCAGCACAGAAGAGTGAAATATTAATGGGTTGAAATTTCAATAAAAGAGCCCAGGTAAAATAAAAGAGCCCATGTTTCAGTTTCAAGCTTTCGTTGAAAAAATGTCATTACTTCTTCAAAAATAGAGATAATCTTTTCAAGCATACTGTCGTATTCCACCCCAAGGTGCTTTCCTATTTATCTGTTTTGTGATTGATAATGCATGACCCTCAATTATATTTATTGTACCTTGTTGCATAGATAGAATTCTATTTGAAACATTAATTAATGGGGGGGGGCATGACTAAACTCTTACCTGTTAGTGAGGTGGAGTAGATTTTACAATTAATCTTGAAATAGATAATGGCACTCTGTAGTTTGGTCTCTTGTTAATCGATTCTTTAACAATTAGCAGATGAGTAGGTATACAATCATTTTCTTATGGTTGGAAACCAAAGCAGGGAAAATCTTAAGAATATGCCTAAAGCAAGTTTTTAAAAAAAATTCTGAACTAGTAAAACTAAAATAAAAGCATTAAAAAGATAATTAGAAGTCTTGAGGGCCTTAAAATTAGATGCTTTCCCTAGCTAAGTATGAATCTGAATGATATAACTTGCTTTCTTCAAACACAGAAGTATTTTTATATGGGTATAGAAAAACAAAATGTGGTACACTCAACATGAGGAGTAAACAATACAACTTATCTTTAGGGAAAATATGGGATATTTTACCACTTTGACCTCCTTTTTTGGTTCCCTCTTTTAAAATATATTTAGAGAAGTTCTTTGACAAATATATATATAGAGATTTGCTCATGTATAGAAAAGTTGCTTTTATATATAGAATAACAGAAGACAAACCCTAAAATTTAATATATAAAAGTATGAATGTGACTTATCATTTTATGTACAATTACACATGTGGATATTATATGAATTATGTTAACATGACAACATACCATTCAGTAAAAGGAATAGGAGGAACATTTCATTTGTCTGAGCTGAGTTTAATGGCATGACATTGGGAGGTATATGGTAAATCTTGGACGATGGGTACATGTTCAGGCCATGGCCTTGGAAGAAAGGCATGATAGATTTGATGGGGCTCATTAAAGACCGTGGAACATAAATGACTATTTATAGGACAAGATTTTTAAGAGCAAAAGCACATCTATCATTGTCTGTAAGCTGAGACTGGTCAAGGAGGGCAATGGCATACTCAGAGATTCTGTGTCGATGAAGGGCTTTTTGAAGCTGAAACATAAAGAAATGTCAAAGAGTTAATCCATTAAGGCCTAAAGATTGTGCTTTTTGTTAGAAAATAGTTTCTGAAAAGGGAATACCATTCAAAAGACATTGGCCCAAGCCTTTATTAAAATATTATTGTGTGATAATGACTCAAAGATGAGTTTCTGCGAGAATAAGAAGCATAAAGATTTTACAGGAAAACTAGATAAAATCAGTCAAAGTTCATCTTGTTCAGAGAATTGTTGACCATTCAAATTCTGGGAAGGTATAAAACACCTCTGTTGTGTCAGAAAGAAGTCAGGTATAGGGGTGGCCCACACAGAGGAGGTGTGGCTTAGGATCAATTAGATTATGTGGGATTTAGCAAGATGAGTGGAAGAAATAGCTGGGACAAAGGTCTTGCAAGGATTAAGGGAACATTTTTAGTCTTCAGAGTCTCACAAGTTATTTAGTATATTTATCTTAAAAAAAATAATAATTTCCAGCTTCCTATGAGATTCTCCAGGATTGAATGTAATATATACATTTTCTGGCTCTGTTTCCAAACTAAGAATGACTTGAAATTTGACTGTGCTTTCTCTTTTTCTAACAGTATACATAACTTTTTATTTTTTTTTCCTTTTCCACATATAGGCTGGAGCCAATGTGCTTCTTCAGGATGTTAATGGAAACATCCCCTTAGATTATGCTGCAGAAGGTACGGAGTCAAGCTGTATCCTATTGACCTATCTGGATGAAAATGGTAAGCAGAATCTTTGAAAAATTATAGAAATGAATAAATTAAAAATAGATTGTGAGACGTATATATGTTTAGTTTTGTATGCATTCTTATATAATTTCAGATGTATTTTCCCAAAGGTTATGTAAAATATTTTTCTATTCAATTTTTCGTTGCTCTCTCTGCAGTTCATTGTTGATCTGCACAATGCATTTCTGCAAGCCTGCAGAAATCTAGAAGGCAACAATGAAAGAACATTTTAAAAAGCATTTAAAGTCCATAATTAGTGGGACTGGGCTTATAATTATAATCTGTTCTCCACTGGGAGGGGAAAGGAAGTGAACCAGCACAATGGAATTTTGAGTTAATGAGAGCAAGGTCATCCAAAGTATATTCTCTTATGAGTAGATGGTTCTAGTAAGAATTATACAAGAGTAAGTACAACAACAACAACAAGTTAGGATTAGTAGCCTGGTGACACAGGGGTTAAGCACTTGGCTACTAACCCAAGGGTCAGCAGTTCAAGCCCACAAACAACAACACTGGAGAAAGATTTGGCAGTCTGCTTCTGTAAAGATTGTTGTTGTTGTTGTTATGTGCCGTCAAGTTGGCCCCAACTCATAGTGACCCCTCCTTGGGTTTCCGAGGCAGTATCACTACGGAAGTAGATTGCTGCATCTTCCTTCCGAGGAGTGGCATCTTCCTTCCGAGGAGTGGCATCTTCCTTCCGAGGAGTGGCATCTTCCTTCCGAGGAGTGGCATCTTCCTTCCGAGGAGTGGCTGGTGGGTTTGAACCGACAGCCTTCTGGTTAGCAGTCAAGTGCCTTAGCCACTATGCTACCAGAGCTCCCCTGTAAAGATTACAACCTTGGAAACCTTCTGGGGCAGTTCTAAGCTGTCCATTAGCATCACTAAAAGTCAGAATCAATTCAACGGCAACAGATTTTGGAAGTTAGTGTTTAAAGTCAAGGTCAATGTGTGTGACATCTTTGAATCCCTCTCCTTAGGAACACAAATGTCAGCAAAAAGCCCTATTATCATGGTGCTAGCTTGTAAAGAAGAGACTGAGCCCCAAATGCATTCGCTGACAAAGAATGTTTAATTACACAGAACCCAGTGTATAATTTCATGCGTAAGTTGAACGTTGGGAATGTGGGAGATATTTGAATTCCTGAGCCAGATATGGCATGAAACTAAAGAAGTATGCCCCTCCTTTATTTTCTTTCCATTTCTTTTTTGCTGTTTAGGTATAAATAACAGCACAGAATTTCAAATCCCTTCAAGTATGATTATTCATCAGAGAAAAAGTTTAAATTTTTAAAAGACACACAGTGCTGATGACTCTAACCTTCTTGCCTCTAAGAAAAGCCCTTACATCTGTCTCATTGTTCCCTTGAGTTCTTTACCTCCTCCGGATCTTTTTTTATTATTATTTTTTTCAAAAGGTTTATTCTGAGAGTGGCTTAGAATAATAATAATTAGTACTTAGCAACCATGTTCTTGAAAAAATACAGTCTCATTAATTCTGAAAGCAAGGTAATTATTGTTATCTTCATCAGGATAATGAGAAAGCTGCAGGGCTAGCAGTGCATCTGAAGGTCATTTAGTCAGGTCTTCAGGGACAGAAGCAGGTGCTGGGCACAGATTGGGTGGTGTATTCAATCATCTATTTACCATCTCCCTCATTCTCTAATATCCTCTCCTACATAAGAGATCACTTGCTCTCTTCAAATCTTGTTAACTGTGACTCTTTAGAGACAGATCACATTACTTTAAAGGAAATATAGTTATGCACATGTCACTGTTGGGATGTTTACTGTTTGGACATTTTGCAAAACTTCACATGTAGTGTATAATTCTGAATGTGTATGAAGAACTTGGCCATGTTTTATATAGCTGTGCCAGTTCTATATGATTATCTTTTCTGCCTTGCTTATAGTTTTGAATTTCTAAAATTCACAGTAATAAATATATTTTTAGAATAAAATTAAAGGCCTTTAGTCCTTGGAAAGAGCTCTCCTGACACTGTGGTTAAGGCACTGAGCTGCCAACCAAAAGATGGGCACTTCGAACCCACCACCCACTCTCTAGGAGAAAGATGAGACTATCTGCTTCCATAAAGTTTTATAGCCTTAGGAACCCTCTGGCAGTTCTACTCTGTCCTTTAAGGTCATTATGAATCAGAATCAATTTGATGGCAGATGAGTTTTACCTTTGCACTGCCCTCGAGTCAGATCCAACTCATAGCGACCCCTCGTTGGGTTTCTGAGGCGATATCACTATGGAAGCATCAATTGTTAAGTGCTCAACTGCTAACAAAATGTTTGGCAGTTTGAGGCCTCCCAGAGGCAGGCATCTTGGAAGAAAAGCCTGGTGATCTATTTTCAAAAAAAAACTCATTAAAAACCCTATAGAGCACAGTTTTACTTTAAAACACATGAGGTCACCTTGAGTCAGAGTTGACTGGCAATTAGTTTTGTTTTCTTTTAAAATCTTTTGTAAAGGAATTAACATTTTTTAAAAAAAATTTTATTGTGATTTGGGTGAAAGTTTACAGAACAAATTCACTTTTCATACAGAAACTCACGTACACTTTGTCTCATGACATTGACTGCAATTTCCCACAATGCAACAGCTCCCCTCTCCTTCCTCCTAATAGTTACTCTTCCCTGTGTCCTTCCCTCTCCTGTACTCCAGTCCCCAAAGCTGTGTCCCTGTGCATAATATCCCTTCTGTTCTCCCATGACTGGTCTCTCTAAGGAATCTGTCTACCTGATGTAAATGTTCAGCTCATATGCCTGTCTTTTGGGACCTCTGGTGACA